AAAGCCTCATATTCAACGATTGTATAAGATAATTTTATCACTTTAATCTGGCCTGTTCTAATACACAATTCAGTGAAAATTGCAACCTCTTAGTGTTAATTTCCAAAATAAAATACAAATGCAGCTTGATAATCATATAGGTCAAAATACAACAACTACAACTTATAGTTCTTAAAAAAAAAAAAAATCCATAACATTAAAATTGAAAATATGATCATGATGCAGAATTAAAAATTAAGATGTAGTCATCAACAATGCAATGTCCAGAAGCAGAAACATAAATTCAAGATGCATGCACATGATGGCAGAAATGCACTCTCCAGCTCCACAAAGAAACGAGAAGAACTTCACAGTGGAAAAAAAAAAAAAAAAAAATGAGAAACCTGAGGAAAACAAATAGAAGAAAAGGGAAGGAGAAGCCATAAAGTCCTTTGAAGACAAAGAGAAAAAAAGTGGAAAAGAGAAACAGAAAGACTGGAAAAAAGGCTCGTCCCTCTTCACCCTCATCACCACGAGGGCAGAGGATCTTTTCTCGGACAGATTATTTATTACCTGCAAGAACTTTTCTACCAACAAACCATTCACAAGTGCACTTATAGATCCCTGGACTGCTCCCGAAAATAATCTAATATACATTATTTTGTATTATTATTTTTTTAATGGAGAAGCCTTTTTATCATGAAAATCTTGACATGTAACTTTTCTTCTCATGCTTAATTCTAAGAGTTTCCTTAATATGCACCAAATGTTGTTCACAATATTATATACATATAAAAAAATATGTACATCACAATAGGTCTGTGTGCGTGTTTGGGTGTGTCTGTGTGCGTGTTTGGGTGTGTCTGTGTGCGTGTTTGGGTGTGTCTGTGTGCGTGTTTGGGTGTGTCTGTGTGCGTGTTTGGGTGTGTCTGTGTGCGTGTTTGGGTGTGTCTGTGTGCGTGTTTGGGTGTGTCTGTGTGCGTGTTTGGGTGTGTCTGTGTGCGTGTTTGGGTGTGTCTGTGTGCGTGTTTGGGTGTGTCTGTGTGCGTGTTTGGGTGTGTCTGTGTGCGTGTTTGGGTGTGTCTGTGTGCGTGTTTGGGTGTGTCTGTGTGCGTGTTTGGGTGTGTCTGTGTGCGTGTTTGGGTGTGTCTGTGTGCGTGTTTGGGTGTGTCTGTGTGCGTGTTTGGGTGTGTCTGTGTGCGTGTTTGGGTGTGTCTGTGTGCGTGTTTGGGTGTGTCTGTGTGCGTGTTTGGGTGTGTCTGTGTGCGTGTTTGGGTGTGTCTGTGTGCGTGTTTGGGTGTGTCTGTGTGCGTGTTTGGGTGTGTCTGTGTGCGTGTTTGGGTGTGTCTGTGTGCGTGTTTGGGTGTGTCTGTGTGCGTGTTTGGGTGTGTCTGTGTGCGTGTTTGGGTGTGTCTGTGTGCGTGTTTGGGTGTGTCTGTGTGCGTGTTTGGGTGTGTCTGTGTGCGTGTTTGGGTGTGTCTGTGTGCGTGTTTGGGTGTGTCTGTGTGCGTGTTTGGGTGTGTCTGTGTGCGTGTTTGGGTGTGTCTGTGTGCGTGTTTGGGTGTGTCTGTGTGCGTGTTTGGGTGTGTCTGTGTGCGTGTTTGGGTGTGTCTGTGTGCGTGTTTGGGTGTGTCTGTGTGCGTGTTTGGGTGTGTCTGTGTGCGTGTTTGGGTGTGTCTGTGTGCGTGTTTGGGTGTGTCTGTGTGCGTGTTTGGGTGTGTCTGTGTGCGTGTTTGGGTGTGTCTGTGTGCGTGTTTGGGTGTGTCTGTGTGCGTGTTTGGGTGTGTCTGTGTGCGTGTTTGGGTGTGTCTGTGTGCGTGTTTGGGTGTGTCTGTGTGCGTGTTTGGGTGTGTCTGTGTGCGTGTTTGGGTGTGTCTGTGTGCGTGTTTGGGTGTGTCTGTGTGCGTGTTTGGGTGTGTCTGTGTGCGTGTTTGGGTGTGTCTGTGTGCGTGTTTGGGTGTGTCTGTGTGCGTGTTTGGGTGTGTCTGTGTGCGTGTTTGGGTGTGTCTGTGTGCGTGTTTGGGTGTGTCTGTGTGCGTGTTTGGGTGTGTCTGTGTGCGTGTTTGGGTGTGTCTGTGTGCGTGTTTGGGTGTGTCTGTGTGCGTGTTTGGGTGTGTCTGTGTGCGTGTTTGGGTGTGTCTGTGTGCGTGTTTGGGTGTGTCTGTGTGCGTGTTTGGGTGTGTCTGTGTGCGTGTTTGGGTGTGTCTGTGTGCGTGTTTGGGTGTGTCTGTGTGCGTGTTTGGGTGTGTCTGTGTGCGTGTTTGGGTGTGTCTGTGTGCGTGTTTGGGTGTGTCTGTGTGCGTGTTTGGGTGTGTCTGTAGAACTGCTTCTTCAACTTTAAATATCAGAGAGTAAAGCATCTCTCTTTGCACATCAAGAAAATGGCCTAAGTGGCAAAGTCATAGGCCTAGAATGAGCGAGAACAGACATCTCGCCAGATCTCCAGTCCCAAAATTCTGCCTTTTTTACTATGTATACTTACTTTCCTCCTTCCATACATAAAACAATTGTCACAAAATAAATCTGGTGAATAGACAGTCTGTAAATAATACATTGCATACTGTAGGTTGCAGAAGAAATCACTAACGTGCCAGAAATTAAATCTTCATATACTTCAACCAATAAAATGACAGCACCAAGAAGTCATTAAAACATGTATCAGTGTTATATCACACTTCATCATTATTAAGAATGCACTAAAACAAAACAAAAGACCTCCAAATCAAATGTAAAAATACCATTCACTCTTTCCTTAACACTAAAGTACTCCATCCACATGTTCTACAAAGAGCACAACAGAACAGGAGGGAAACAAAAGCTGTAAAAAGGGTGAAAATAATCACTAGTTCCAAACACACCGACCAATCAGTCCCGCACGTCATTCTTCTCTGTCATGGCTCACAAATGCCCACAGGCAGAATCCATGGCAACTAGGGCACTATGCCATTTGTCATCTTTTGCTGGGATGGCACTTGGCCTCCCAGGACCTCTGGCCTCACTGCGTGGGACTATGCACTTGCACGTAGTTGGCCGGAAAGAGGCCATACTGCCCGTTGCACCAGCCTCGCCACCAACCCTCGTCAATCTGAAGAAGAGTGCGAAGTGAATGCAAAAGGGGAAAGGCTACTTTCTTCACGCTCAAATCGTATGTATGTATATATATATATATATATATATATATATATATATATATATATAAAAGACATCTTGCAAGTAAATAAACAATAAAATTTTGCTTTAAGCTTCTACTCACCATTTCAATATTGGTTATGATGTCATCAGGATCAAATGATATTTCGTCAGTGTCCGCTGAAATGAAAAGCAGCGTCATATAAACTTCACATGTATACATAATCTAGTGCCTCTAATTTCAGGAGAGAACAAACAGCACCTCATCACAGACTCTGGGCAACTCCCAGATATAAATGTGTGTGCGTGTATGGGTGTGTCTGTGCGCGTGTGTGGGTGTGTCTGTGTGCGTGTTTGGGTGTGTTTGTGTGCGTGTTTGGGTGTGTCTGTGCGTGTTTGGGTGTGTCTGTGTGCGTGTGTGGGTGTGTCTGTGTGCGTATGTGTCTGTGTGGGTATGTCTGTGTGCGTGTGTGGGTGTGTCTGTGTGGGTGTGTCTGTGTGCGTGTGTGGGTGTGTTTGTGTGTGTCTGTGTGCGTGTTTGGGTGTGTCTGTGTGCGTGTTTGGGTGTGTCTGTGTGCGTGTTTGGGTGTGTCTGTGTGCGTGTGTGGGTGTGTCTGTGTGCGTGTGTGGGTGTGTCTGTGTGCGTGTGTGGGTGTGTCTGTGTGCGTGTGTGGGTGTCTGTGTGCGTATGTGTCTGTGTGGGTATGTCTGTGTGCGTGTGTGGGTGTATCTGTGTGCGTGTGTGGGTGTGTCTGTGTGCGTGTGGGGGTGTGTCTGTGTGCGTGTGTGTGTGTCTGTGTGCGCGTGTGTGTGTGTGTGTGTGTGCGTGCGTGTGTGTGTCTGTGTGCGTGTGTGGGTGTGTCTGTGTGCGTGTGTGGATGTGTCTGTGTGCGTGTGTGGATGTGTCTGTGTGCGTGTGGGTGTCTGTGTACGTGTGTGTGTGTTTGTGTGTTTGTGTGTTTGTGTGTGTGTGTGTGTGTGTGTGTGCTTATGTGCGTGTATGTGTGCGTGCGTGTATGTGTGCGTGCATGTATATGTGTGTGCGTGTATGTGTGTGTGCATGTCTGTGCGTGTATGTGTGTCTGCGTGTCTGTGCGTGTATGTGTGTGTGTGTGTGTGTCTGTGTGTGTGTGTCTGTGTGCGTCTGTGTCTGTCTGTGTGAAAATCATAAACAGGCACCATAGATAGGATTAGTGATTGATCCCTAAGTGACAGTGGAGCTATCTATGTGTAAATCTGATTAATAAACTAAACTCACCAAGGGGCATGATACACACATCAGGCCATCCCCATCAGCATTAGGTTAATCACAATATCATATATAAATGCAAGAACAAAAGAGAACTTAACCCATTCGCGCCGGGTAAAAATGAACAAAAAATGGGGGAGATGCTGTGTTCATTTTTTATATTTTTTAATGAAATTTCTCTACACTAGATGGCTCTGCTTTACCGGATTTCATGTGGCGGGAAAATGTATTTTTACTAGTGCTATGAATATCGATGGTTATTTTTATTATAAACATTATAATTACTCTAATGTTATTAACATTAGTAACAGGAAAATAAGATAACGCAAAATAATTTCGTATATTAAAGAAAAGGGTAAACAGACGAGACAGGCAGTACAAGTGCAAGTGGAGCCATCTATGTTTGTAAACAATCAAACAAGTAAACTCAAAGTAGGCCCGTCACGTATACGTGACGCCCGGTGCGAATGGGTTAAAGAATTTCACAGCTGACCAGTGAACTAGAGGCTGCCAGATGTTTATCTGGAGCCGTCACAGACTTTCCAAGGAACTGACCTGCCTGATAGTCGTATAGTGCAAATGCAGTGATACCCATTCCCTCATCCTGTGGTTCGGGGGCATCTGCGACCTCTGTGGCTGGGATCTACACATGGATACACAGTAACAGAAAAATGAGATTGGGTAAGGCAAAGGAATTGCTCTTCATTTTTATGCCTGCTACACTGGTTCAGAGAGCTGACCTCAGAACTCCCAAAACAGAAACATAAACAGCACTTCATATATTAAATCTATGGGGTAAAAATGATTATCAGTGCTACTGCTAGGTTGAACTCACGACATTCTTTCCAAAATTAACAAATCAGCACCATTCTTCCATTACAATATGATGAACATGCAGCTACACAGGGTACTAAAAACAATTACAAATACAATAAAACAAAGATCAACCAACAACAAAAAGTACAAAAAATACAAAAGCTTGTCAATTTGCATGCAGGTAAAAGATAGTGTTATGAATCATGAGAGAGGACCTGACATAGCTGGCTGGTCTTACGCAGCAGGAATCAAGTCACTTCCACGCCATGAGCTGTTTAAGATCAAATATCAAAGAATGCATCCCGGAATTGATGGGCATGAGAGAAAAAGTCAAGGTTTAAACTCGTATTTTTTCCTCCATATTTTCTGCAGGTCATAAATGGGGCTATTATTAGAAAGCAAAGACAATAATGATAAAAAAGCTTCCATCAAACTGGTGAACAGATTTCTTCCATGACCAGAAAGCTATGAAAGTTACTCACGTATTGGACAGTGGAAAACAAGGCAGGAATCCATGTGGACAAAGGGAGGAGGAAGTGTGACAGGATTCAGGATTCATCAAGACAAAGGCAACCCATACAGGATATATCATAACACTGGCATGCATTCCCCATAGCAAGTAGATTAGGAAGAACATCGGTAAATCAAGTGCGCTCTGCCATCCTTGGGCAGTGTCCTAGAACTTTTGAGGAAATCCCTTCAAATCTGGGCAACCGCTCTGCCCCCGAGGTCTGGGTAAATTGTAGAGGTATGATAAAGAATGACAAGCACATTCTGTATATACCATATTTACTGGCATATAAGACACTTCTTCCAGAAAAAAAATTAAATTACATTGCAAAGAAAACACCCAAGGACATAGTTAGCAGTTCAAGCAGTGCCGAGTTGTAATATACTAAAAACCAATATTCAGCTTGTCAAAGTAATATTATGGCTGAAGTACTACAATTCATATCAAGGAAAAATATGTGTCTATACTAGACTTACTGTAAACAAAATCCTGACTATGCCCACGGCTTTGAACATTTACAATAAACTTCTTCTGGCAAGAAACCAAGCCTACATAAAATGATGGCATACATATGTATCTTTTAAAATTATTTACCTTAATACCTATATCAAGAATATTCCTGGAAAAGCCAAAGAAAATTCCAAACACCAGGAGCCGTCTGCATTTAGTCTGTAAATGATGCATTACATGACATCACAATAGACACAAATTAGTTTCAAATTTTATTTAACATGTTACCTGCGTCTTGGCCCACAGGTGTACCACTAACGATATTCCCTTATTGGGAGTTGGTAACATGTTAATAATCAAAATTTAAAAAACCCTAGAGAGAAAAAAAAAAACTGTCCCACCAGAGGCTGAGTTTATGGAATTAAAGCATCATTCACCTCTTTCTGACAGTGATGCAGGATAATATGCATGTACCTAATATGGATGATTATTTTTGCCTTTCTGACATTAGGCAAAATTTTTGCCTAATGGTATTCATTACTTAATCATTCAGTATTTAACCTACTATTTATACAGTAATGATCAATGAAATAGGCTAGTTGCTTCTTACTGAAACACGAGCAATAGGAATCTATTATCAAATTCTTTGTCAATCTTCTCTTTCTCTTTCTCTTGTGTTATGTCAACTCTTCAAGAAATACTTGGATTGCCTTCGTAGCGTGGACTGGACTGCAAGAATTGTATTACTCATGGAGAACATCATTACAGTTACATTCACAACATAAAGGCTTATACAGATAAATTCTGAAATCATTTATCATTTTACTTTTTAAAGAAAAAAAAAAAAAATAATAATAATAATAATAAAAATAAATAAATAAATAAATAAAGCGCATCTTATATGCCAGGAAACAGAGGGTGTGTGTGTGTGTGTGTGTGTGTGTGTGTGTGTGTGTGTGTGTGTGTGTGTGTGTGTGTGTGTGTGTGTGTGTGTGTTTGAGTTTGTGTGTATGTGTGTATGTGTGTGTGTGTTTGAGTCTGTGTGTGTGTGTGTGTGTTTGTGTTTGAGTCTGTGTGTGTGTGTTTGTGTTTGAGTCTGTGTGTGTGTGTGTTTGTGTTTGTGTTTGAGTCTGTGTGTGTGTGTGTGTGTGTGTGTGTGTGTGTGTGTTTGAGTCTGTGTGTGTGTGTGTGTTTGAGTCTGTGTGTGTGTGTGTTTGAGTCTGTGTGTGTGTGTGTGTGTGTGTTTGAGTCTGTGTGTGTGTGTGTGTGTGTTTGAGTCTGTGTGTGTGTGTGTGTGTGTGTGTGTGTGTGTGTGTGTGTGTGTGTGTGTGTGTGTGTGTGTGTGTTTGAGTCTGTGTGTGTGTGT